AGGGTTCTACGGTACATTCATGGTACTGCTACTCATGGCATCACACTTCACCGTACGGGCACAGATTCTTTGCAGGCCTACTCCGATGCTGATTGGGCTGGATGCCCCGATACTCGTCGCTCTACCTCGGGGTACTGTGTTTTCCTTGGAGACAACCTTATCTCATGGTCCTCCAAGCGCCAGGCCACCACCTCCCGCTCCAGTGCTGAGGCCGAGTATCGTGCCGTGGCAAACACCGTAGCTGAGGCAAGCTGGGTCCGAAATCTTCTCCTTGAGCTTCAACAACCCCTGCGGCGTGCCACATTGGTCTTTTGCGACAACGTTAGTGCTGTGTATCTGTCATCAAATCCAGTACAGCATCAGCGCACCAAACACGTAGAAGTCGACATCCACTTTGTCAGAGACAAGGTTGCCCTAGGACATGTCAGAGTGTTACATGTCCCCTCCTCTTCTTAGTATGCAGATATTTTCACTAAAGGGCTTCCATCTCTTCTCTTCTCCGACTTCAGACATAGTCTTGGCGTCCGTCCTTTGCCGGTCACGTAGTTGGGTGCATGTTAAATATGTTATGTATATATTTAATATTAATTATGTGATCATTGTAATTATGGTAGTTTACATGTATAGGTTTCCTTACGTAATTAGGAATCCTTTGTAACTATATATACGAGGCTTCTCCCTCATTATTCCTTAATATAGAAAATAATAATTCTTCAAAATCAATTTCAAACGAATAAGCAATCCATTTGGGGAAAAAGAAATCAGATACTTATCTTTGGGGAAGAAGAGGGGCGTAATTGGCGAAGAATTGGGAAGGAGAAGACGGAATCTTTCCTTTTAGGATAGCGTCTGGAAAGCTTTCATAATTAATCGACACGTGTACGCTTATTTGTCACAAAAATAAGACTCTAAAATTGACACATGTCAACAATCTAAGCATCAAACTCTCAAATTGTATATTAAAGGATTAAAATAGAAAGATTTTTTTGATGTGCTAAGAGTAGTGCAACTTTGTCTTGCAAATCGGTGTCAAGATTTTAACCAAGATTCGCTTTTAATTTGCTTAGATATCCCTGGGCCTAATAACAAATTTTAAAAATTTATTCAATCATACTTAAAAGATGTGGCATATGTGTACATGTGCCTATCACTTATTGGTACACATAAGTAGTGTTTTAAAACACCCAATTTAAGAAGTGTACCGAAGGATTCGCCTCCCAAAATCTCAACTGCGTTTGGGGCATAAATTCAATCACTGAAAATGTTGATTTTCATCAGCTACTTCATCTGCTGGTTCATCGGCACCGCAATCGCAGCCGTTCCTGGTAAGAGTCACTTGGAGCTCGGCGTGTTGCCTCCGACCTGCGAACGGATCGAGTGTCCCATCTATTACCGGATCGCATCCGGCAAAGACTATGAGATTCGCCGCTACAGCTCGGCCGTGTGGATGTCTACTTCTCCCATTAACGGCACCTCTTTCGTTGACGCAACCAGGACCGGTTTCCTAAGGTGAGAACAGCCGATTCACTCTTTCAGTATATAAGAATTATGTGTATGAACTGTGATTTTACTACTGTTTTCTGCTTATGTGTATTAAGGATAAATAGTTATTATTGCTTATTCATAATTTGGTTTGTACTTATCCGTATGTTACCACCTGCATATTAACCATATGTATTAGATTAGGTTGTTAGCTTGAGAATAGGATCGTAAGTTGTGTTTAGCTATCCAGTAGCCTCCTCCTCTGTATAAATCCTTGTACAATGATTTTGGAATGATATGAGAAAATACATCTCTTATATGGTATCAGAGCTTGTTCTGTAAAACAGATTTTTTTTCCCTATCGCTAAAAGGGCTCCCCCTGTGTTTCTTTCCGGTTGCAAACCGATGACTTCTGCAGATTCTGCTCCCTCCTTCATCCGTATATCTGCTCCTAAACATTTCCCAATCAAGCTCACCAAGACAAACTATCTCGTTTGGCGTCGCCAGGTCCACACTACTCTCGTCGGTTTGGACCTTCTTGGTTATATCGATGGTTCCGTTCACGCCCCATCACCGTTCTCGGATGCTGCGCACAAGCAGTCCAACCCTGCGTACACTTGCTGGTACCGTCAGGATGCCATACTTCTCAGCGCTCTCCTTGGCAGTTGCACAGATGCTGTCCAACCCGTGATATCCCTAGCGGAAACATCAGCCGATGCCTGGTCTCGGCTGGCCGCGAGTCTCGCCAATATGTCCAGTGGGCGTATTATTTCTCTCAAGTCCCAGTTGGCAAAGAATCCCAGCCGGAACCGCACCATTGAAGCCTTTATTGCGGATATGACGACGATTGCGTCCGACCTTGCTTTAGCTGGTAGCCCTGTCACTGATGAAGATCTTGCAGTTCATATTATGTCTCAACTTGGCAATGAATACTCTTCGGTCTATCAGTCATTGAGGGGGCGGAAGGATTGTGAACGTGAGATTCATGACCGCTCTGCTGCCTCGTCTGACCTAGTTCCCACAGCCAATCATGCCCAACGTATGCGTGCTAGTGATCATCGTGGTGGTACTTTCGGCCGTGGCGGTCAATCTGGTGCCTCTCGCAGCGGCATGCGTGGACGTGGTTCTTCTAATCCTACACGTGGTGGCCGATACTGTCAATTTTGTGACTATCCGGGTCATGATACGAAGTTTTGTCGTAAACTTCAACGTTTCTTGAAGGAGCATAATGTTTCCATTGGCTCTGCACCGCTCGCTACTCCGACGGCTCACATGACTATCTCACCCGGAGGTCGCGACGAGAGTGAATCTCCATGGATTATTGATAGTGGTGCCTCACATCATGTTGTCGGTGACCCTTCCTCGCTCACCACTCTCATGGATTATGGCGGCCCAGATGAAGTTCGTTTAGGTAACGGTAAGAATTTAACGATTTCTCACATTGCTCAATCTCGTCTACCCACTATTGGTCGTTCTCTTGATTTGTCAAATGTTTTGTGTGTTCCACATCTCCAGAATAATCTTTTATCTGTGTCTCAGTTATGTCGTACTAATCAAGTTTCGGTTGAATTTTTCTCTGACTCCTTCCTTGTGAAGGATTTGCGTACACGGACACCTCTACTTCGGGGACTCACCAAAAATAATCTATACTCCGTTTCCTCTTGGTTGGGTGCACCAAGGGTCAACACTCTTTCTGTTGCCGTCTCGTCTCTTGCTGATCTCCATCATCGACTAGGACACCCTAATAATAAAACTCTGGGTGCTATTGTTCGTCAATGTAGCAATATTTTTCAAGTTTAATGATTGTGAATTGTTCTAATTTTCATTGTTCTTCCTGTCATATCAATAAGAGTCACAAGTTGCCCTTTGCATTTAATACGTTGTCGAGTAATGCTCCTTTAGATCTAATTTACACTGATGTTTGGAGTACTTCTCAGTGTTCTATGGATGGATATTACCATTATGTACTTTTTGTTGATCACTATACGAAATACATTTGGTGGTATCCTCTTAAACAAAAATCCGATGTGTTTTCTATTTTTCCTCAATACAAGCGGCTTGTGGAAAATTATTTTCAGCGGTCCATTAAGTGTGTTTTCTCCGACAATGGTGGTGAGTTTATTAAACTTCTTCCCCTTTTTCAACAGAGTGGCATCTCTCATTTTACCACTCCACCACATACGCCTGAACACAATGGCACGGCTGAATGCCGTCATCGTCATATTGTTGAAACCGGGCTCTCTCTCCTTCATACTGCTGGTCTTCCTGTGTCTTTTTGGTCCTATGCCTTTCATACGGAGGTTTATCTTATTAATCGTCTTCCTACCCCCATATTATCTAACATTTCGCCATATGCCGCTTTATTTCAAGACACTCCAAATTACAATAAATTTAAACCTTTTGGGTGTCTCTGTTACCCTTGGCCGCGTCCTTATCAGGCCACAAAACTCTCTCCCAGGTCTACTCCATGTCTCTTTCTTGGTTACTCCAGCACTCAATCGGCATATAAATGTTACGATCTCGCCTCTGGCCGGGTCTATATTTCTAGACATGTGAAATTCGTGCCTCATATTTTTCCGTATGCGTCTCAACCCTCCATGCAAAGTGCCTCACTGCCTCCTGATGCTCCACTGCCTTTTCTACCTGCCACTTCTTCTCCTGTTTCCCATACTCATGCACATCCTCATTCTCCACGCCTCTCTGTTCCCCAATCATAATCCCATTCCCTCTCCCCATCAGCACCTGGTCACTACCCACTTGAGTTCTCTGTCCATGCTTGTGTCTTCTCCGCATGTTTGTTCCTCGGACTCCCATTCTCAGCCTACTCCTCCTCTACAGACCGAATCCTCTTCTTCCTTCGGTCGGCCAGTTCGTGAGCGAAAGTTAAATTCCTGTTACTTTAATGAACATTTAGTTAATCATGTAGATTCTGTCACTCTTGTGGAGCCTCTAACTTATATGCAGGCTAAGAAAGATGCGGAGTGGTGTGCCGCTATGGATGCCGAGTACCAAGCGCTTCGGCGTAATAATACGTGGGAGCTTGTTCCACGCCCTTCCCAGCGTCCTATTCAATGCAAGTGGGTTTTCTGTATCAAACGGAAGCCAAATGGGCAGGTTGATCGGTACAAAGCCCGGCTGGTGGCTAAAGGGTTTCTTCAACAACCCGGTCGTGACTATTTTGAGACATTTAGTCTGGTCACTAAACCGGTTACTATTCGTCTCATTCTTACACTTGCCCTTACTTATTCCTGGTCTCTTCGACAATTGGACGTCAATAATGCCTTCTTAAATGGTACATTGCACGAGGAAGTTTATATGGAGCAGCCGTCTGGTTACAAGGATGCTGCACATCCTGACTATGTGTGCAAATTACGCAAGGCGCTTTATGGCCTCAAGCAGGCACCCCGTGCTTGGTATTTGGAGTTGGCTGCCTTTTTGGAGGCCTCTGGTTTTCGCAAGTCTCGGGCGGATGCTTCCCTCTTCATCTACTCTTCTGGTACTGTTCGCCTATATTTTCTTGTCTATGTGGATGACATCATTGTTACCGGTAATCATGCTCCTTCCCTGGATGCCTTTGTGGCTAAGCTTTCCTGTCGGTTCTCTCTTAAGGACCTTGGTCCCCTGCATCACTTTCTGGGGGTGGAGGTAATTCCGGTCGCCGGGGGTCTTTTTCTATCTCAACGCAGCTATATTCATGGTATTCTGCAAGATCACAGCATGGCTGCCGCAAATCCAGTAGCCACACCTCTCTCCTCTTCGGTTCCACTGCGGCTTGATGATGGTTCAGCTGCCGCTGATCCTACTGCCTTCCGCCAGTTACTTGGCTCGCTTCAATATTTGGCACTCACTCGTCCGGATGTGTGTTTTGCGGTAAACAAATTGTCTTAGTTCATGCATGCACCTACTCTTACTCACTGGACGGCGGCTAAGCGTGTTCTTCGTTATCTTTGTGGTACTCTCTCTCATGGTTTGTATCTTCGTGCTAATGTCCCACTTTGTCTTAGTGTGTTTTCTGATTCGGATTGGGGTGGTCTTTATGATGGAGGAAAATCTACTACTGCCTATGTGATTTATCTTGGTTCCAATCCTATTTCCTGGAAATCTACACGTCAAAAGACCGTCGCTCGCTCCTACGGAAGCTGAATATCGTGCTCTTGCTCATGCTACCGCAGAGATGCTTTGGATCAAGAACTTGTTGTGTGAACTTGGGGTCTCTCTACGGTGTGCTCCAACCCTTTATTGTGATAATCTTGGTGCTACCTATGTGTGTAAGAATCCGGTTTTTCATTCTCGCATGAAGCATTTGGCGCTTGATTATTTCTTTGTTCGTGACCTCGTTGCGGCTAATTGCTTGCATGTTCGTCATATTTCTTCCTCCGAGCAGCCTGCTGATATTTTGACGAAGCCTCTTGCGCATCCCTTGTTTCACAAGTTTCGTTCCAAGATTGGTGTTTCTGACGGCACGCCAATCTTGCGGGGGCGTATTAAGGATAAATAGTTATTATTGCTTATTCATAATTTGGTTTGTACTTATCCGTATGTTACCACCTGCGTATTAACCATATGTATTAGATTAGGTTGTTAGCTTGAGAATAGGATCGTAAGTTGTGTTTAGCTATCCAGTAGCCTCCTCTGTATAAATCCTTGTACAATGATTTTGGAATGATATGAGAAAATACATCTCTTATAATGTGTAACTTGTCTTGACAAATCCAACTTAGGATGACTATGAATTAGGGACCATTTCTTCAATTATAAAGACCAGATGTATATATATTAGTGAAGACCAACCAATCAGAACACGAAAAGAAACAATCCCTGAAATATCCTTTTTTTTGTTTGAAAAACAGTAAACGCAGTATTGTTTTGTGGAATATTTATATTTTTTTAGATTTTACAAATGCTGTATTCTCTATGTTATTTCTCTTTTGAAACTACAGTAATTCCTTTGTAGTATGAATGAGTTGGGGATCATTGGAGCGAGATATCAAACACTTGGTGGAATTTAAAAAACCTCCACTGTCCTTTCGTAATTTGACCAAACCTCAAGGGAGGTAGATGAAATTATAAGCCTTCAAGTTATAGTCCCTAAATAAAACAGCACGGTTCATGTGACATTCGATTTGAATGCACCCGAGCCACCTCTGTTGGTAAAATTGATCAATTCTAACCCCTGCCCCCTCCCCCCAGTTTGCCGATTGGATCAATAAACTGGGGGGGGGAAGGGGTAGGAACCATCAATTTTACCATCGGAGCCCCGAAATAAAATGATCATCTAATGGAAAGTTGGAAACATTGAAAATAGAGGAAAACAATTTTATATTCAATGAAACGGAGGGGACATACTTTATTGGTTAAGAAGGTATGCACATACAGTTAAGAGGCAAAGGGCATATAGCTGTAATGTAGATATACATTCCAACACCTGCTCTGTCTTTGTTTTGTAGGCTTTTTGGCTATATTTCAGGAAACAATTCTTACCACAAGAAAATAGAAATGACAGCCCCAGTAATGACAGAAGTGAAACCGAGCGATGGACCATTTTGTAATTCGTCATTCGTGGTGAGTTTTTCGGTTCCAAAGGCAAACCAGCAGGATCCACCCCAAGCAGAATCCATGCACTTGCAAAGATGGGGGAAAACATATGTGGCAGTGAGGCGATTCGGAGGGTTTGTGTCCGATATGAATGTTGGGAAGGAAGCAGAAGCATTAAGTGCCAGCCTCAATGGAACAGAATGGCTCGACGCCATCAAGAAAAGCCACGCCGGAGAGAACACGACCTTGTATGCCGTGGCGCAGTACAACTCTCCCTTTGAGTTTCTAGGCAGAGTTAATGAGATATGGTTGATGTTCTTCGATCAGAAAGATCAGAGTCTAACTGCAGCTTGAGGGGAGAGGATGCCACGAGTAACAACCATATGGTTTATTATCCCCCTCTGGTTCTCTACTGTTGGGTACGGTACCTCTTTATTACTTGCATCTGAAGTAAATGTTGGATTTAAATTATGATAGACTGGTTATGGTATGTTATTCAACATGACAAAAAAACTTTTTGCTTTGAATAAGTTCTCATCTTGACTTTTGGACCCAAAAATTGTGTGTACTTATACATAATACATTATACATATATGTGTATGCCTATGCACACACTTCCTCGGTCATAAAAGGTCTTGTTCCAAATGTTATCTCGAAAAAATATTATTTCACACAAAGGAGTGATTCCGAAAGTTGTCCAAAGAGAATTTCATACTCTTACAAAGGAATGATTTTTTGTTTTTACCATAGATGTAGTTAATGATTTTATATCAACTTTTTTTTTACTTCATTGGGGTTAAGGCATAACTATGTTATAATACCCCATAATCATAGAGGACTGATACTAGTGTCTGACTGTCTATAGAGTTCGGTGCGGTCAATGTGAAAATCAATGTGAAAATTAAAAAATGAGGTTATATGCCGCTATATATACAAAACCTTCTCATCTGATATGCCCTACGAAACGCATCTTATATGCCCTACGAAACACCACCAATCCGCTATATGATTAAAGGACCATGCTAGGGTGCCACCACATGGGTGCTACCATGGGTGTACCCATGCTTCGCACAGACAAACACAGACGATAATTGTCTGTGCGACACAGACAATTATCCTCTGTGTTTGTCTGTGCGAAGCATGGGTGCACCCATGGTAGCACCCATGTGGTGGCACCCTAGCATTTTCCATGATTAAAGCATGGACCATGCTAGGGTGCCACCACATGAGTGCTACCACGGGTGCACCCACGCTTCGCACAGACAAACACAGACGATAATTGTCTGTGACAATTATCGTCTGTGTTTGTCTGTGCGAAGCATGGGTGCACTCATGGTAGCACCTATGTGGTGGCACTCTAGCATTTTCCTTAAAGCATTCCCATTTGCTATGCAAAACCTTTCCATTGATATTTTTGATTATTTTGATTTTGATAAATGGGTTTTTTTTCTTTGGCAAGCTATTGCAATTTTGAGGATGGTAATTGATAACCTATTTGCTTCTTGGAGATGATTGAAACCCCTACGTTGTTAGGATTTAAAAAATAATCATATCTCAACTTTCAATGTAATGCATAACAATATTACCTATACTAAAGGGAGAATTTCCTAGATAGGAGTAAAACACTATGAAAATACCAAAATAGGAGTAAGTCTTTAAAAACCAAAATAGGAGTTCATATTGTCATTGTTACACTACAACACTCACCACATTGTCACATTATAATGGCCACATTATCAACGCCACAATGCCACCGGCCATAAGAGAGATGTTGCAGATCGCCAACGGTTGACTAATCGCGCTAACATATTACACTGTCATCACTTTTCCATCACACTGCCAACACATGTTCTTACACCACACTGCCATTATACTCATATTTTGATTTTAAAAGACATAGGACTCCTATTTTGGTATTTTCAAACTTTTTTACTCTTATCAAAGAAGATTTTTTTTAACTAAATTATGCGCGTTTAGGTCATTGTTAAACTGCTAACGACTTGTTAACAAAAATGGCCTGTTTTGCGCAACATAATGAAAGGTGGAACCACTTTCGATAAATTTTTGTTTACTTTTTTGTAATGCTCCCTCAAGTTTTTAAAATGACTTTTTGCCTCCATCATTTTTTCCCTTTATTTTAAAGAATAGTCTTACTTTAGAAAAAATAAAAATATATATAAAAAATACAAAAATGAGAAAATACAACTAAAATCATAAAAAGATTATAAAATAAAAGGTGATAAATAAAAACTAACCGGCTTAAAAAAAAGACTCCCCTTAGACAATTCCTGAGCAAGGAGCCGAGGAGGCCTCCGAGAATTAAGATCCCGGACCCCTTGGCCCCTCTTAGCCAGCTCCTGAGCATGGAAGCAAGGAGGCCTTCGAGACTTAAGATCACGAGACCCCTTAACCAGTTCCTGAACAAGGAGGCAAGGAGTCAAGGAGGCCTCTGGAATTTAAGATCCCAGGAATCCTTAGCCCCTTAGCCAGTTCCTGATCAAGGAGACAAAAAGGCCCCCGATACTCCTATTGTGATTCCAAAAGATATACGACTCTTATTTTTGTATTTTTAATCTTTTTTGCTCTTATCAAGGGAGATTTTTTTTACTAAATTATGCGTGTTTAGATCATCGTTAAACTGCTAACGACTTGTTAACAAAAATGGCCTCTTTGGCGCAACATAATGAAAGGTGGAACTACTTTCGATAATTTTTTGTTTATTTTTTGTAATGTTCCCTCAATTTTTTAAAATAACTTTCTGCCTCCATCATTTTTCTCTTTATTTTAAAGAATAGTCTTACTTTAGAAAAAATAAAATATATATAAGAAATAACAAAAATGAGAAAATACAACTAAAATCATAAAAAGATTATAAAAGAAAAGGTTATTATTTCCCAATGTAGGACCATTAGTCATTATTCAACTAAATGTTCAGCATCACTTGGACATTATTCTTCTCACTAGTCATTATTAAGTCCTATTTAGGAAATTAAAAAGTTTAAGTCCTACATTGGGAAATGACTTCTGTTTTAGTCCTATTCAGTGCAAATTTCACATTTATTTACTCCTCTTCTCAAAGGAAGTCGGAGACTTTCTTTGTTACTAACTTGAATTTATTTTGATCTTTTGGAATTCCATCTCACAAATCCTCCCTTTCACTGAAGTCTCCCTACAAATCTCACCTAGTAATTATTTTAAACTAATACGAGTATTTTTTTTATCCAAAAAATGCCAACAAAGGTTATAATAACATTTTGGAGTCTTATGGACTCGACTACAATATACTCCATCCGTTTGCAAAAAGACTTCCCATTTTGATTTGAGGCAAAAATAAGGAAGTGTTAAATTATAGTTGATTTCCAATTTTGCCCCTGATGTGATGGGTATAAGTAATATGTGATGGATAGATTATTAGAGAAAAAGTATGATGTGATATAGGTAGCGTATGAAAAAGTAAGGGTAAAAGTGGTTTTTTAATAGAAAGGGGGAGTGTTTTGTTGGAAGTGAAAAAAATGAAAGAGAAAGTGTTTTTGAGAACGTAGGGAGTAATATTTATTTGTTCTTATTTTTTGTAATCTAATGACGAACAATGAACTAAAACATCTGCCTTCACTGAGACTCGGAGTTAAATGAAATTTACATTAATCTTGGAGGGTGAGCTCCCTGGAACCATATAAAATTAACAAAGTACTTCGGAAAATAATATTGTGATACACGATAGAACACATATATTAATTGGGAAAGTAATATACAAAACCACTTCTTATTTGGGATCTCCGATTTAAAATTTCCACTCGTGCTCTTCCAATAATTGCTGTGGAATTAGAAATGATTATATGGTGTACTAAACAAATAATTTGCCAATATTAAAAGAATCGAACAGAATGATGGTGCATTGTAGGAAGAAAGATATGATATGAAAGAGTCAACATAACATTACTCTTTGTCTCAAATAATTTGATATCAATTCATTATTAGGATATTTGTAGTACTTCCTAATAATTATAGAGCATTATCGAGGGATATAATGAGGCTAATTATGGGCGAGTGTGATAACAATTACATTCATTTAATTTTAATATTTTGCAAATTTTAATAAATGATACTCCTTCATCCCATAAAATCATTCATGTTTAAGAAAATAGAAAAAACGAGTAAAACATTCAAAATATACCAAAATAAGAGTTACATGTTTTTTTTCCGAAATAGAAGTTAAAATACATTTACATTACCAATCATGATCATGTAAATTACCAAAAAGATAATAAAATGTACATGCACAGTGCCACATTACCATAGTGCAAAATCTTATTTAGGAAATAAAAACATGGAACTCCTATTTTGGTTTCTTCTCTATATTTTACTCCTACTTAGATTGATTTCTTTTAAGGAAAGGTGTACCCTAAAATTGAGTATATTTGGTATTATTTTTTCTAATTTTGCTCTTACTTTATAGTAATAGACTAATAGAATATGATGTGATGTGTAGGATTGATGAGTCATAATTTGAAAATGACACCAAAATTACATATTTTAAAGCCACGCCTTTAATTACAAAGAGAAGGGATTTTATGGGACTACGCGAGTAAAATTTTGGTTCTGGTGAGAATACGATCTTATGAAAAAAATAGAGTCAATTCCATAATTGGTCCTTTATAATAGAGGGGTTTCCATATTTAGTCCTCTATTATCAAATATTACCCTCGTAGTCCTTTTTTTAAGGGTGTCTTTCCACAAATGGTCCTTTTTTTGATCTTCCGCCGTGTGGGTGTTAATTTAAAGGCTAAAAGTATAATTTGACATCAACATTATGTCTAGTGACGTGTTCTTATATTGGTTAAGCGGATAACACAAAAATAATGACTATGATTGTGGGCTAGGATTCCGACGAAAGACTACATTTGTAGACTATGGTTGTAGTAGAAAGCGAATGTAATTCACAAACGACGCAAACGGAACAACTTTTGGAATTGTGTTTGACAAAAAAGATGTATTATCATTGTGAAATTACACTTTTATCCCTCAAATTAACTCCAACCAGATAAAAGATCAAAAAAGGTCCTCAAATTTAAAAAAAATTAATCAAAATATTAATACTATAAACAAATTATATCTTATTGACATACCTATTAGATAATAAAACTAATATTACTTCTGGTAGTATTGGTTATGGTAGTGTTTCATTATTAGTCAGCTTCCTAATCCTATTTGTAGTAGATGTTGTATGTTAGTTAGTTTCCATTCGCTATTCCTAGTTGTGTTAGGAATCTCTCCTATATATACTCTATCATGTATTCCATAATTAAAGAAGCAATATTATTATTCCAATATTTCAACATGGTATCAAAGCCACCGCTCTTGGTGACCTAAAAAAAAAGTTCTTTGCTCCCACCGCCGTCGCCGGTAATTCCGGCGACGGCGGCTCCACCCTATTCACCTCTATTTTCTTTTCCTTCTTTTATCGTCAAATCAACGTCTCCATTCAAACGAAAAAAAAGGAAAACAACCTTGTTGAAATCATACAAAAAAACCATCAAAGGCAGAACTTCTCTCTTGTCATCTCCATGGTTCTTTAAAAAAAAAACTCAACTCCTCACAAACTCTCTCAACTAATCCTATCTTCTCAAAAAAAAGGAAAAAAAAA